AGAGAGAGAGAGAGAGAGAGAGAGAGACGCACACACCCCCATCTTTTCTCATGGGAGGTGACACTGTCTGCAGACGCGGACACACGCCCGTGATGGAGCCGTCGTCCTGAACTTCCTCCGGCCAGGAGTCCTCAGGGACGTGGCCAATCTAACGCCGCTGCAGTGCAGCGTACTGCCAGGATCAAGGTCGTCTAGTCTTCTGAGGTGTTGGTGGTAGGAAGATGGGTAGGAGGCTCACCCACTAGCTCTGTTATTGTCACAGTAGGGTATGGTTCGGGAGAATCTGGTTCGGATTCCACAAACGGGCTTTTTGTCTTAGATTGTCTGAGAAGTTTTGATGCGTCTCTCCTCTCTTTTCATCGGTGATAGAGTTCATTTTTTTGTCCCTTGCCCGTTTCTATGAGATTGACTTCATCTGATTAGTAGAAAAGGTGCGTATCATAGTGTCATAGTGTCCGATACCGTATTAAGTGTATAATTATCATAACATGTAACTGTTACTGATATAAATTCAAGGAATAAATATAGATGTATGTCAAGGTTTTGAGAGCAGTGATGATGGTGGTGGTGAGTGATGATGTTGAGTGTTGTTTATGTAATGGTAGCATTAATCGTATCTCTCTCTGCTCCCATGAGTCACGAGGTACGCGTGCACCCTCTACCCCGTCCCCTACTGGAACCATCTTTAATGTCACCGTGAAGTTCCCCAATGGTGGACAGTCTCTGCTAAGGTGACCTTGTTAAAGTTAGCGTTAGATCGGAGATCAAAATTAAATCAGAGGGTTTTAGTCTTTAGTTACTTCTGTTTGTAGAGGATTACATCGGCGTTTGACCATAGCCAAGCTTCTACGAAGGTTTGTTGCATCAAAGTCAATCCCTTTTCTTTAAAAGAACCTTAAAACAAAGTAAGGACCTTGAATCTTGACTCGTAGAATAAAAAGCAGTGCTAAAAGGCCTACGTCCCGACAACTTTCAATGGCCAATTTTAAAAACCTATCAACCAAGATCCTTTTCGTTCATTCTCTATCTCGTCACCAGTTCGTCCACTCATCCACCCAGTCACCCATCTCTTCACCCCTTAAAATACGAGAAGAAAAAAATCAAATTTGCGAGCAAACGCAATAAAATACGACATGGGAGAATATATAGTACTTAGAAATGGTAGTCAAAACAAATAGAAACGTGGCCATTCTGCCATTAACTTTCTTCTTGTTATGAATTTAAAGGAGCTGTGGCCTATTTGTGATGTCGAGGTGGGTGATATTCGTGATTTCGGAGTGCTGT